AATCCACTTCAGTATGCTGCAAGATATCTCAATGAACCCCAATTTCTAGCAGGTTCTGGATTTTGAACATTGAAAGAATAAATGATTGAGATCATCTATCCCTTCCCCACAGATCTTACAAACTGAATCAACTTCAATTCCCCTCCTTTGTAATTTATCAGCTACCCCCACGAACCCATGGCAGCATATCCACATAAACATTTTAATCTTAGGCTTGATGTTTAGCTTCCAAGTGAATTTCCACATTTTCTGCCACCATCTTGATGTTCCACTTGTAGAAGCCTTATCCTTAGTACTATTTTGGGCTTTGATAATAGCTTGATAAACTGCCTTAGTAGTGAAAACTCCCTTCTTACCCCAATGCCAGATTAAGCTATCATGTTTTCTATGATTAGATAATGGGATTTTCAGAATTAGCTGAGCATTAATTGGATTGAAGGTTTGCAGGATTAGCTCCTTATCCCATTCTCTACTCCCACTCTTAATCAAGTCACTCACCTTACTAACTCTATTCCTGTCCCCCCAGAAACAACACTTAGGTCTAAAAGTAGAACTGTTGGGAATCCATGGAGAGTCCCACACATCTACAGACCTCCCATCACCCACCTCATATCTAGCTCCTATCTTGACCCCCTAGCACTCAACCAGCTTTTCCACAGCCAAGAATCACTATGCTTGGCTTTATTGTCTAACAAATTTCTATCCCAAAAATATTTTTCTTTTAAAACTTTACTCACAAACAGATTTGGAGAAGTTTCAATTCTCCATAATTGTTTCACAAGTAGAGCTTCATTAAAGACCGTCAGGTCCTGAAATCCCAGCCCGCCTCATCCTTAATATCTGCTAATTTACCCCACTCAAACCAATGAATCCTATTACCCCCTTTTTCATTTTTCCCCAACTAGAAGTTGGCTATTTCTTTGCAAATCTAATTGATAATGGTGATAGGGATTCTAAAGCAAGACATAACATAAGTTGGTAAAGCACTCAGAACTGAATTGATCAAAATCTCTCTCCCAGACTCACTTAAATATCTGTTTTTCCAACTCAGTATTCTATTTTTCACACAATCACTCACAAATTGAAAAGTTTCAATCTTGGACCTCCCAATCCCTAAAGGTAATCCCAAGTATCTAGAGAATTTGACTCTATTGATCCCAGACAACATTCTACAGATTTGAGACTGGTTTCTCTCAGATGTGTTTTTTCAGAAGAGAATAGAGGATCTGTCAAAGTTAACAGCTTGTCCAGATTCTAGACCATATTGATGAAGAAAGTCATTGATCAAAGATGCATGTTTGATGTCAGCTTTACAAAAAATAATTGAGTCATCAACAAAGAATAAATGACTTACAGCAGGTGTATGCTTTCCTATTTTAATACCATGGAAATGCCCAGAATGACAAGCCTGGTTTATAAGATTTAACAGAGCTTCAGAGACTAAAATGAAAAGATAGGGAGATAGATGATCTCCTTGTCTCAAATCCCTAGTGGGTTGTAAATAACCAAGATTGGAACCATTCAGATTAAAAGAATAGGAAGTGGTGCACACACAGGCTAGAATCCAAGATAAGAAAGTTGCACTGAATCCCAATTTTCTACAAACTTTGGCTGAGAAAGCCCATTCTACTCTATCATATGCCTTAGCCATGTCTAGCTTAATGGCCATGAAATTCTGTTTGCCTTTTATTTTGATGTTCAAATAGTGCACACATTCATTGGCAATTATCATGTTATCTAGAATTTGCTTACCAGGAATAAAAGCAAATTGAGCACTAGAAATTCAAATAGGAAGAACCACCTTTAATCTGTTAGCAATAATTTTAGCAATCAGTTTGTATATTATTGCACACAGACTTATAGGTCTAAAACCAATAACTCTACTAGGATTCTTCTTTTTGGGGATCATAGTTATGACAGAATATTCAGACCCTTAGGCATTCTACCATTTTGAAAGAAATTATGAACAACAAGATTCACATGGTATTTGATAACAACCCAAAATTTTTGAAAAAAAAACATGCAGTAAAACAATCCTCCCCTGGGGCTTTATCCTGAACCATATCAAACAAAGCTTTTTCAATTTCCTGATCATCCAAACCAGAGGCGGATCTAGCAAATATAATGAGGGAGGGCTAGTTATTTAATGAAAAAATATACAATATCATAACAAAAAGTGCAAATACCTTCATAGTCGTTCGTTGAGAGTTTTCATAACCCGATATCGCTCGATAATAACGTCATTACTAATTTTGAAGAATGATTCTTTTTCTACATAAACTAGTAGTCTATCATTTAACCATTCATCACTAATTCGATTGCTCAATCTATCCTTAATAATATTCACTGCAGAAAATACTCTTTCCACGCTAGCTTTTTGGACTTGTCTCTAATCTTTGGATTGTAGCTTGAGATTGGAATTCTCAATGGGATTAGAGGGAAATTGAGAAGAATCAAACTCCTCGATCACCATTAAACTTCCGGTCGTATTCTCTTTCTACCTAGTGATATCAGAATTTCCCTCAAATTTATTTAGATTCAAAGTATCTCCTTTTGATACATTTTTACAAGAACTTTGTTGACGGGCCTTTTTTGAAAGTATCTCTCCATATTTGATATACAAAAATATTGTAAATATACAATCAATGAAATTCTCTATTTCGACATGTCACGTTTTAAAGAGCAATAAACACCTCATGGATTGAATTTATAATTTCTACACAATAAATATTATATTTACCACAACCTAAAAAACAAAGAAGAATAATTTTTATCTCCACCCAAATAAAAATAAAGGGATTTCGTTACCTTGCAAGTCGTAATTGGAACAAATTGACTCTTTTCTTTCTTTTCCCTCTCATCTTTCCCATATTTTCTCTCTTTTTTATTGCCTTTGTTCTTGTTCTTGTTCTTGCGTACAAAGTGAAGTTGGGGCTGCCTAATTTTGTTAAATCCATCTAATTCTAATGTTCGTTGATGTCTTTATTATATTTCTTAGTTATTTGGGCCCATGAATAGATTTTTTTGTCTGGGTGAGCATTATACAGTAATGCTCACCTACCCAAGGTGGACACATGTTAATATGTCCATTGCTTATGTGGCATGCAGACATTGGTGTTGTATTTTTTGAACACGTTAACATCACCAATGTGTGTATGCAACATAAGAGGTGGACATACTAACATGTGTCCACCGTGGGTCTAGGCCCACACTGGTCTCAATGAGCCTCCGCCCTTGATCCAAACATTTACATAGATTGTCATTCATTTCAGGAGTGATAAGTATAGAGATACCATCGAAATTGTATCCTTCCTTAAGGGGATTAGATGTTTGAAATAGATTTCCAAAATACTCAGTAATCTCCGTCAAAGTTTCCCCTTGATTCAGGCAGAAAGATCCATCAGCTTTGACAATATTATCTAGACCATTCACTTTTGTTCTCTGATTGACACATGCATGAAAGAACTTAGAATTTCTATCTCCCTCTCTAAGCCAAAGAACTCTAGACTTTTGCATCCAAAATGATTCCTCACTCTCATAGGCTAACTGGGACTCAATTTTGCACCTAGTTTATTCTACCCAATCTCTATTGCCCCTTGCAACCTAAGCTTATAATGCTTATCATTGCATTCCTCAATCTTAAGCCTAGCATTTCCTGTATTACTCTTTTTCCAAAAGATGATGGCTTTTCTGACATTTTGAAGCCTTTTCTGAATGCAAAAAAGGGCATGGCCCTCCACATTCAAATTCCAAGCATTGGAAACAATGTCTTAGAAACCATCACATTTAAGCCATCTACTATCAAAGACAAACCTACTCCTACCAGGCACATCACCAGGATTACTGTCTAAAAGGATCATATAATGATCAGAGGACCCAACTGTAACATTAGTAATATGAGAATTAGGAAAGAGCATAAACCATTTTTGAGAAAACAGAAATCTATCAAGGTTTTCTTCTATGGCCTGATCACATTTTCTATTGTTGGACTAAGTGAAAAGGTGACCACAGGTTTTAGCTTCTGAGACTCCCAAAGAAAAGATAAGATTTCTGAAATCATCAAAGCTGGCTTCTTCCCTCCTAAGGCCCCCAATCTTCTCTGAGTTATCAATAATGTCATTAAAATCTCCACTAATAAACCAAGCATCCCCCCAGTACAAGCTATGCCTAATCAAAGTTTGCCATTGACAATTCCTAACCTCACTATCAGTACTAGCATAAACAAAGATAACCCAAAACACTTAAGCTTGACCAATTTTAGAGAATTGGACTTCTAAGCAAAAATCAGAGGGAATAATCTGAATGATGTTGATTCTGTTTCCGCTAAAAAATAACCTTCCTTTATATCCCTGAGGTTTAACATAGTACCAACTATCAGCTAATTTAAGATTTTTACACATGGATTCTACAACTTCTTGTTTTTTCTTAGTTTCAGACAAAAAAGCAAAATCTGGAAGATGGATTCTTAGAAAATCCTTGAAATGGGAAATTGTAGAGGGTCCTCCCAAACCTATACAATTCCACGCCAGGACCTTCATTGGACACCATGGGACCAATTATGGCTGGTTTCCTCCACCACATTCTCAGTTAAAAGGTCACTAGTTCTCAATTTCTTGAAATCAAACTGCTCACAAACAACTATGTCATACTCAGAAAGAATTGCATCACAAGGTCTTTTGAGGTAACCTTATTGATAACACTTCTTTCCCCCTTACTAACATCAATGGCCATGTTTTCAGGGACATCCTGAGGAGAGGAGATCCTTCATTTCGAGGATGTAGCTTTTTTTCTTTGCACAATTTTCCTTCCCATAGATACAGGCTGCACTGGGACCTCCACGAGGGTGGAGTCCCCTTGGGTTGGATTATAGGTTCTTTAACATGAATTGAACCTTTCTTCACCACAAGATCATCTTCCATAACTCCCTTAGTGCATGATAAAATAGTTTGGTCAGAATCAACCAGCATTGCTTTACCTTTATCTGGGGTGATGGGAGAATTCAAATTTATTTTGGTCCCCTTGACTACATTTATCCTCTACCACACTCTTGGCTATGATTGGATCAAGGCTATTCTCTTTAACTTCATCACTATCTTGGTTACCCCAAGTGTGACTTCCAGTACTCTTATAGCTACCAGAAAAAGAACTACTGATTCTCAACCAATCACCAAATTTTCCCATTCTAAGAGAGTTTTGCTTAATATCGTCTTTCTTTTTATTGCAACTCTTATCTGAATGACATATTAATCCACAGTAGAAGCAAAAATTCTACAGATTCTCATATTTGAACTCCACCCATTTGAAAGTGTCCCTTACTTTGATATGAGTTCCTCTCAGCAGGGGTTCATACAGTGGGAGTTCAACTAATATTTTCAAGTTCTGACTATAGACATTGCTAGTACCAGGAACTTGAACATTTAAAGGTGTGCCTAATATTTTTCCTAATTTCAACCCAATGTCAGCTGAAATCCAGTGTAGGGGAAAATTAAAGACTTGGACCCAGATTTTGATTTTCTCCTCATCTTCACTGAACTCATTGTTCTCAGAATTCCACAGTTTGAGCAATAGATATTGACCATCAAAGGTCCAAGTTTTTCCATCTAATATTTTATCCCTATCCTGAGCAGACTGAAACAAGAATTGAAAACAATTATTTCCCAGGTTTCTAATAGTGAACGGTTTATTAGTGCTCCAAATTCCTACTAGAGTAGTCCTAAGGCCACTAAAGTTCACTTTCTTCTCACCGAAATTTTTTCCTATGAGACTTAATTCACAATCCTAAATATCTGGTGTTATTTCATCATTAGATAAAACCAAACCTATTTCTTCTTTCTCTGATAATTGAAATTTTTTAGTTGATCTGAAATTTCTTGTTCCATAATCCCCAAATGCTACCCAGAGAAAGCCCTCAATAAGATAAATAATGCCAAAACAAATTAATACCAAAAGTAGATGCAAGGTTCAGGCAAACAATTCGCAAGACAATCAAGAAATTTAGAATCGACCCACAGTCTGCCAAAGAAACTAGCAAAAAAAGCACATAAATTCAGGCAACAGATTCATATCTATTCAAAATAGAAATGAGCAAATTATCCAAAGTTAATGGAAGTCTTGAGTCCAGATCAACATCCATATCCCTGATTTTAGCTATATTGTGCATTCCACAACCAAGAAGCAATTATTATTTGAGAAAAATCAAGCAAGCTGAAGAAGGAATGGAAAAACATGACCTCGATCGAAAACGGGAACTATATACTAGGGTTCAAATAGCGAGCATCTAGCAAAATCCAAACCAACAAACGAAGGAACAAGAGAGAAATGGGACGGGAAATCGAAACCAATCGAACAAATCCTATAGAAAGAACTAAGACTCAATAAAGATAAAAAACCCTAGAAAGGGACTCGAAAAAATTGAACATTAGAATGACGTGAAAAGGATAGAAACATTAGAATTAAGAACGCAAATTAAAAGGAAGATGGGTAAACATAAGAAAACTTGACAGGAAACCATAAAAAATGATTTAAAATATTAAATTTGAATAAGGATATGTGTTTTGATCGAGCATGATGGTGACATGCGATCCATATAACCGACTCTGGGATATTAACGACTTGTTGTTATTGTTGTTGTTGTTGTATAACTATTTAATATATCTAATTAAAATATGAACAATAAATAAAAATAAGTTTTAAAGCTTCATATTTGAAATTTAATTTTTAAAATAATTTATTTTAAAATAATTTAATCATGATTTTATTATATATTATATATTTATTTATTATTTTATTAATTGGTAATATTATTGTTTGAAAAACTGATTCCTACAAATACGAGTACGAGAAAACCTTCAGTTATCTATGGAATGAGAATGAGAAAACTTTCCATTATCGATGGAATGACTATGGAGATGAATTTTGCCAATTGGGATGATCATGTTAGGTATCCGCCTGTCTAAGCCACGTTTGAAATGATGACACTCTTTGGAGTTAATGAGTAGTCCGGTAGAGCCCGAACAGCTCCCAATCAGTGTCGGGATGCCCCGATCAGTCTCGGGCAGCAGCTAATGACTCCTGGACTGCACTCTAGCAGGATCTAAACAGCAGTAAAAGGCCCGAAAGCAATCACTTCAGGCCCGGACAACAACAAGAGCAATCTTTCAGCACTTGAATAAACTAATCACCATCACCTTGGCAACACTTAAGTGTATATACTGAAGCCACAAACAGAAAACTAAAAATGATTAATTTATATAAATTAAGATTAATCAAGAGAGGATGGAGTTAAAAACGACTACACCCTTTTACGTAGACGTATTCGGGACCGACACGTGAAGTGTTAATTACACAGGCTCAGACCCCGTATAATTATGCCCACAAGAATCACAAAGAATCTAGCTTCGGGCCATGGCCATTCGATCCTCCGTCACCCGAACCTTTGGTAGCAAGAAGTCTTGCACAAAGAAATTCCCGGGATACTCACTAAAAGAATACACAAAGTACACTCTGTTTTTATCTCTAACTCTCTATCTCTCTGCTCTCTTTTTACTTTCTCTGTTTTGTATTTCACTCACACTCACACACACATGTTTATTGTGTTTTTGTCGTTATTTTTGTGTGTTTTGTGTGTTTTATTTTATAAGTTTTAGGCTCGTTTTAGTGTCAACCAGTCTATTTTATCATGTTTTGTGTATTTTTGTTATTTATAGTGTTTTCGTATTTTTGCGCGTTTTCTCTTTTGTTTTGGTGTTGAATAGGTCTAACTTATCGAGAACGAGGAGACGAACCATCCGAGCCGACCGAGCCGACCGAGCCGTCCAACCCAGAAAATCCGACCAAGCCATACTGGGACAAAGAGAATTCAATGATGAGAATTTTGGTCCAAATTTTATGCGAATCGGAGTTGTGTGCGAGAAGTTAGGGCGAACCCAAGATCAACGGGCCATGACCGCAGCACACCCGCGAGCTCGCGGAAATCATGGCGAGCTCGAGAGTGTTGCTGCCCAAGCGCCCAGCGCACGTCACGAGCTCGCGGAAAGCATGGAGAGCTCGAGAGTGTTGTTGCCCAAGTGCCCAGCGCATGCCGCGTGCTCGCGGAAAGCACGGCGACCTCGAGAGTGCCGCGGTGCCATTGCCCACGACG